TTTGTAAGGCCACGTTGTGGGTGCCATTTGCGGTGCATTTGACATGTTTGTTCGGAGCAGTGCCGGTTTGTACAAATTCAACATGTCAGACGAAATCCTAGCTAGAACCGGATATGGATGAGTCTATTTTTCTGAGATCTGATGTAGTGTTGTACGTGTTACCTATATATATATATATATATAAAAAAAAAAACACGCGCACGATCGCGATTGTACTCGCTGCACAAATGATAGTATTAGCACTTGCATTGTCGTGTCTTAATTATTAAGTAGATGGAAAGAATGACTGTAAAAGAGACGGTGGAAGAAAGTATGTCTGGCCATATTTTCACGTCGAATCGATTTTCGGTGTTTATCGTGAAGACGTTACGCCGTCATTGAATTTGTACATTGTATTATGTGTTTAGATAAATTTTATTGAAATAAAGTTTATTTATGTGTTGGGAAGATTTCGCATGGAGAGGCATGCTGTTTCAAATGTTTAAATGTTTCAAAAATTACCGAAATGGCCGGCGAAAGGTTTGTATATGTATACGAAAGTGACTTTTTTTTTCTTTTTTCACTCAAGAATTTAATTTATTTGACGAAAAACTTTCACGACATGTTTGTTACGTTATGGTCCATGTCGTAAATAATTAATTGTAACCAAGTGTTCGGTTTATGAGTTATTATAAAATCCATACGAGAAAGTCATGGCATTTAATCAAACGTGTCCCATTCATGCAATTATCGATATTTCTCTATTATCCTGCGCGCCGTGCCATTCGGAATATAATGCAGATTAATAATCTAGAAATTAAATTCCCTTCAACAGAGGGAGTACGTTTATCGATAGCCTCACCCACATATATGTGTATAATATGTACTCGATGTCGACATCGTTTGTAATTTATCATTTCCTAGAGAATTCGCGCTTTTAACAGCACAATGTTAAAACAAACGGTAAATTTTCTATGAAAAGGAATACGTTTTTATTTTTAAGTTTCCCGAGCGTCGTGCAATCTCCCCCGTTTTATCGGGGGATACCAGTGGTATGCGTGAACAGAGAATATTTATTTGTAATATATAGCTAATTAAGAAAGAGCATTGTAAATACCATCGAGCTGTCGAGCTTAAGAGAATGTAAGATAGCTTAAATACATTCACAATAAAATCCATTATATTTTTATTTAAAAAAAAAAAGAAAGAAAAAAGAGGAGAAAGCTCTGCAACCTGTCCCGTTAATTCCAACACTGTCGCGACAAGCTTTTCGGAACGCGCGACGTACAAGCTGTGCACGGCACATTGTGCATAGCGTAAGTACACGTGTGCTCGTGTCAGAGTCTCGTAAAGTAATAAGCTCCCTTCAACCCTTTCCAGGTGATGATGATACAGCGTTCCTCTAGGGACAATACATCGCGATAGACGCACGAATACCAAAAGCCGTTGACTCATGGTTCAGATAGTAGCGCAGATGCATTGATAAACGACGGATTATCGAATTTATGTGGGATCCCCTCGATTATTCACTCTTTGTTTAATACTTGTATAAAATGACGATTGTATTCTTGCAAACACTAGTAGTGGTTTTACGGATAAATCATTTTCGATATACTTTTTATTTCCAATTTGAAATATATATTGAAGTTTCCGAGATATTATTCCTTTTTATATTGTAAAATAATTTTTTCGTGTTGGAAAATACTAATTTTATTTGAAATTCTAAGAACAAGTACATTTTCCACGACGAAGATATTTTCTTTTACTTAAGAGACTTTTATAAAGTAATAAGATGTGAAAAACAACGAGGAAAAACGTTTCGAGAAAAGGTAAGTTTACGCTTATATATTAAGTTTTTAGCTGTATAAAGTAAAAAATGGCTTTTTGAAAATTTATATTACCGATAAAGACAAGAGTGCCATACGATATCTTAAATTACTTATTATTAATTAGTTTAATTAGATTATTAAATTTATTAGGTGGGCAAAAAAGTTCTGAGCTTTTTTTTATTTAAGGACTAACAAAAAAATATTAATCAGCGAAATATTTCCCGTTTGCATCAACGACTTTTTGCCATTTTTCGGGCAGCTTGCGGATTCCTTGTTGATAAAAAGCTTATCGGCTTTGAGGCTTCGATAAAGTCATTGATGCATTTTCGTATTTCAGTAAGTGTGACGAAATGTATATCAGCCAAGTGATGCTGCAGCGACTGGAATAGATGATAATTGGAAGGCGCCATATCTGGGCTATACGTCGCGTGCGAAAAAAGTTGTCAGTCTAACGCAAAGATATGATCCTGAGTCGCTTTTGCGACATGTGGTCGGGCATTGTCGTAAAGCAGGATCACTTTACGATGTCCTTGGCCAGTGAATGGCCTCTTTTCTTTTAATCGCTTAAATTGGTTAATTGTTTCACTCGGCTGTAACAACTCATAATACAACACACCTTTCCAATCCTGCCAGATGCAGAGAAAAACCTTATTGGCGTGGATATTAAGGTTTAGCATCGATATTGAAGAGATTGGCCAGGGTCAACCCATGATTTCTTACGCTTCGGGTTATCATAAAGAATCCATCTTTCATCTCCTGTAATGATTTTGTGCGGAAAATCTTTTTTTCCGGAACTTTAAAAGCAAACTGAGTGCGGTGTCATGCCGTCGATTTTTGTTGTCTCCGGACAGTTTATGCAGAACCCATCTGCCTTCCTTCTAAACTTTTCCCATTGCATGTAAACGTACGGAAATGGCTTGCCGCCAAGCAGCACTGCAAGCTCCTTTTCAGTTTGCGCAGAGTTTATATTCAGCAATGTTCGTCCGTTTCAATTTTTTGAGGGCGTCCAGTACAGTTCATCTTCAAGACTAAAATCTCCTTGGCGAAATTTTTGATGCCATATATTTTACACGTAGCATGACTTACAGCGTTCTCTCCGTATGCAGCACAAATCATTTCAGTGGCTTTAACAGTATTTTTTTTTTCAGATGAAACGCAAAGTGGGTGGAAAATCGAATATGCTCTTTTGTTACTGCCATCGTGAACATTATGATTTTTAAGATTATATTATTTAAACTGTTATGAACTTTGGCGTTTAATACATATAACCCTAAAAATAGTGTTCATGATGACAGTAACAAAAGAGCATATTCGATTTTCCATCCACTTTGCGTTTCATCTGAAAAAAAAAAACCGCAAAAGGGCGGGAAAATAAAAAAAATTTTAATCGCGTTCTCGGTTTTATGAAATCTAAAGCTCAGAAACTTTTTTGCGCACCTAATATATTATAAAAAATCGTGCCGTAAATTAATATATACAATTTTTTTAATTACAATTTTAACCAATAAAAAAAAATGGAAAGTAAAATCGTCGCGGAGAAAGTATAGCGACTCGTCTTTTTCATTTATTATAAAATTGCACGCTTTCATCTCCAATATTTGGAAGAAAACGAAAATCATACCTACACGTATACATAATTTTATACTCTCTTTTGTTGAGATTAAAATAAGTTGCATCCTTACATAATGAGCGAAGGGAATTCAGATGTAATGCTCGACAAGTGCTTGTTCACCGAAGTTAGATGGGAAATGTAAGGAGACGGAATATTCGGTGCGCGACGGAATAATATTTCGCAGTTGAGTATATCTTGTAACGTTTTTGGGAATCCCCCGTCGCTCGCTGGCGCCAGCCGTTTGTTGTTACGGTGCTCGCGACCTTGTTTACGGTCGAGCTCGAATTGAGCGGAGCATGGCGCAGTTACGACTTTCGTGATTCGTCGCGCGTCGCATTACCAGCATTACTTCCAATAACTCCCCGGTAAACGCAGTTGAGACGGGAGCTCGAGGACCGCGCGGAACCGTGTTATTTCCTACAATTAGCAATTAGCTGCCTAATTAGATTGACTATCAATTTCCGTGATTTGCACGCGTATCGGAGTAGGTATTTAGGTATTTCTGTGTGCGATTTACTCGCTTAAAACACAGAAACTGAGGTGAAATGGACGAATTTATATCGCATCCCCAGGCGATATACCCTTTCGGTCGATTACATCTTAAATGAATTCTGACAGATTCGCAGATGTAACGTGATAATAATAATTAGAGCAGCGTTCATATATCGATTGCTTAATACGTGTACTTTGAGATTTGCGCGTGCAATAATCCAATTTCGATAGTACCATATTTTCCATAGTTCGTTGCGTTTTAGAATGATTTTTATTAATGACTCAAGTCGGCATGTCGTTCTATCTTTCTTGACATTCATTGAGTAAAGATAGAATAGCAGTTGTGTCGACTTGTGTTACGATAAACAGTATCCTTAGTTCTTAATACACACAATCATTCGTGTCCTGTACAATTTTTTTTTTTTCGAAAAACTAGGACGAGCATCAAGTAATTAGTTACATTTATATACAATTTATTAAAATACACAATCTATACATATATATTTTCTAAAAAATCTGATTAGCTCAAAGAATTAAATAAATTTAAACGTAAAAAAGGAGAATAAGCCAGGCAAGAAGTTAGTGCTTTTTACAAACAACCATGTTTATTTTTTCAATCGTTTCGGTTTTCACAAAACCATTTTTAGTGAATAATTCACTTAAAAATTAGTCGTAATTAAATTCAATCGTCAATCGAACGCAAGATAATTGTACACAGGGAATTTTCTTTTAAAAATCCTGAAAATATGGCACAATACAATATTTTTTTTAATAAAGATTTTTTTTACTATTCTTTTCAGTAAAGTTAATCAAACTTATTTTATATTTTATTTTAGTTTTATTAATAAATGAGAGAGATTTACACAAAATTTTTCGAAATACAATGTTGTCCCACGACTATCATATTTTCAGAGTAAACTCTAAGAAAAAATTCTCTCCGTGT